GGCCAGACTTGATAACTCTCGTGCCCCAGTACCCAAAACCCCAAAACCCCAAAACCCCAAAACCCCAAAACCCCAAAACCCCTAAAATTCAATCCTTAATTGGAATCATCAAAAAATGAAATTTAAGTGAGGAAGAAAACTGGGGGATTCTAGTTGCCTCCCAAACTTTGGTCTGCATACAACTTTCTCTGATCCTGGGAGGGGACAATGTGGATCTCAAGCCATTTTCCCAGATATCCAGGCATGAATTTGATCTTGACACTAGCTTGGGAGTTCTGGAGCGGGACTTTAGATCTGTCTCAGTCAATCTCACTCTGGTACTCAGCTGAGATATTATGACTGGCTCGCTTGGCTAGTCAAGGCTGGAAAGTTAAGGACCTATCTGTGTACTTTAGGTTGAAGTAGCTTGCAATGAAAGCCATGCATATGTGGGATGACAGCAATACCTCATGCGCATTCTTTTTGGAATACCATAACAAGAATATGATTCCTCAGATAAAGACTATACCTACTACTATGCTGAGGATGTAGTGAAGGTAATACAGCAGGATGAACCCTAAACCGCCTGAAACTAGGAGTCCAATGATGATGTATGCAAATATGATGTAATCCCATTTGGACATCCTTCTGCGAATTGGTCCTAGTACCTCATTGCACTTCTCAACAGCTTCGTAGATGACATCCTGGTGCTTCTCATTGTAGTGGACATTATTGGCAATCCTCTTCTTCTGTTTACGGTTGAGTTTTAGGTCTGAAGAGCATTCTCCATTTCGGACAACCATCAGGTTATCAGTCTCTTGTGGAGGGAACTCAAAGACCCTTTTCTCGTGGTTGATCAGGAATCTCTGTAGTGAGCTCTGTCCTAGGTCAATGATTCATTTGTGGTAGTCAATGTCATTAGAATCAAGGAGTTGGACGTAATCATCCATGTACTCTCCAAGATCATTGTTCTTAAGAATTTCCAGCAGGTATTCCTCGAATAAGGCATACTCGTAGACAGCCCTTGTGTTCGACAGGACCTGTAGAAACTTGCTTTCATTGGTAGGCCCATTTTTGTGGTAATTATCTTGCATTACTGAGATAGTATCGTGCTTGGCCTTGATAGTCATTTCTCTGCATTCAATGCCAATCTCTTTACTCGAATCGATCTTGTCATTAATGGTTTGTCCAGTAAGGCCTTTGTCCTGGAGCTCGAGAGGGTCATCATCATAGTATGTGTTCCTCTTCTCGGGTGTGTTGAAGTCAGTCAGGATAAAAGGAATATGATTTCTCCCCAAAGTGCTGCTCTTAAGACTCTTTTTAGCTGATTTACTGTTTTTGGTGATAAAATCCTATGGATTAGTGGGCCAAATACCATCTTTGAGTACTGGGCTAGCTCAACAAAGTGGCTGCCTGAGTCATCCATCGGCTTCGTGATGTTAAGGCCCGAGTTTTCAGATATGTCTGACTTCTTGACTAAAGTGTCAAGGCTGCTCTGGCCGGATAGAGCTGCCTTGCTGTAGGTTCATGTGTTTCGAAATCTTTCGTTATTGGCTTCTAAATAGGAGTTATTAGTAAATCAAAAATTAATTAAGAGCTTCGTAATGAACTTAAGAAGAATAAGTATGCTCTTAGAGCTACTGGAGAGCTCTTGCTTCCTAATCCAAGCTTTAGGGTGTAAAAAAATGAGCTTGAAGTTTAAATTTTGGCTTTGAATTCAAATTGGTAATGTCAAAATATTTGGAGCTAGGTATTGCACAGGCTAAACAGAATCATACAAAGTTGGGCTAAGCTAAGGCTACACCAGGCTTTTTCAAAAATTCTGATATTCCTTCATTGAAGCTACGAAGTGAAATTTCTGATCGAGGCGAACTAACTTGATGTGGATTACCCTCAGAAAAGAGGTAAATATGTTTAACGAAATATTTCAGGTAGCCTAAGAAGTGTTTCACTCGAAGGTTGGCTCCACCTCCACTCCAGCCAGCTGAGTCAAAGGTGTATGGCACATCTGAGTTTTAGCTTGAGCGTTCATGGTGCTATTCTTGGACAGGTTTTTCCACAAATATAATCATATTTTAAAACTCTTGTTATTTTTAACTCAAATGTGAGAGAATTTTACTCGTAATCTTAGATTCAAATAGCCTGAGGAAGACTGAAGACTTTAAGCTAGGCTAAGAGTTCCTTTTCCCAAAAATATGATGTCATAGACAGCCTAAGGTTACGCTTTGGCAGATCATGAAACAGGCTTCTTGAATGGTATTGGTTGGATAATGAAATTTCTTTTTTAACTCAAAGAAAGTTTTATACCCTCCTAGTTGCTATATTGCAGATCTAGAACGCTCAACTCTAACAAGTAGGCACCTTTACGAATAAATCTTTGAAATCAAGAATCTTGTGCTGACAACTTAGGTTTTGAAAGAAGTTTCAGAAAGATTATTTAAACTAATAAGGGAAATCAAATATTTTGGAGGTTAATTCTGAACGAGTAAACTCTTTTGCAGCACAATAGTAATGGCTCACCCCGGTTTTCTCCTCTGAATCCAGCTGATTCAGGTTGGATAGCTGCTTTCTTGGCTGGAGACCATGACTTACTTGAAGAATGATTGCTCATGTTTATTAGGTTATTATATATTATAGTCCTTATGGGGTTTTGGGGTTTTGGGGTTTTGGGGTTTTGGGG